TCTAAAATAAAATATTTATTAAAACTAATATTTTTATAATAAAATTATAATGAATTTTAAGTAAAAATCAAAAAAAATCGATAGGTTTAATAATAAAATTTATGTTAAAATTAATTAAAATTGTTTAAAATTGCAGGCAAATTTGCCTGCAATTTTTTACCATTAAAGGGATAATAAAATTAAATTTTTTATATTGAATTTTTTTTTTAATATTTTTTTTTTATATTAAATAAATGAGGTTTATTATGATTATTTTTATTTTTATTTTATTTTTAAATAAATGCGGATATTTTTAATTTTTTTTATTAAAAAATAAAATGTTTCGTAACCGGTGATAGTTCCGAAATCTAGCATACCAGGCAGTATTTTAGAAATTTCCGATATAAATTCCGGTTAATTGCCGGTAGTTTTCGAATTTTCACGGCGTTTTATTAATAAATTTCCGGCAAAATCCTATAAAAACCGACATAAAATTGACGAAGGAAATTTATGCCGGTTCCCTAGAATGGCCGCTTTTTAGTGAACTGGCGTAATATATTATAGGGATAGGGATTACATCATTACATCATAAATTGTTTTAATTGGGTTTTTTTTTCAAAAAAATACAAAAAACTGATAGAAATAATTTCTATAATACCAGAAATGTATTTTGTGAATATATAATTTTTAATACAAAAATTCTATTTTAATATGGTATATGGGTTATATTTACTTTTATAAAATTTGATTAAACCTGCTTATATCATAAATTGATAAATTGATATTTAATCATGTAACAATTTTTTAACTTTTAGATAACATAGATAACATATTCTTTAACTTAATAGTTATTGCATGTTAATGCCAATGTTGCATTTTATCATGGACAAAAACGGCTAAAGTGGCTAAATGCTTAATTAAATATACACAAATAGGACGTTCTTACGCTTCTTTAATGAACTTTATCATGTGAAAAAATGGAGTTTCGGTCATAGTTCTTCCAAGTCATCAAATTTCAACTCTTGAAAATTGACATCGCTCATGATCGATAATTTCGCTTTTTTTTTCTGATTAACCTGTAAGTAATTTCTCCTCGAAGGTTATTAAATAGGTAGATAATATCCCTCGTAAGAAGACGTTAAATAAATAAATAACATCCCGACGGTAAGTAAATAGGTAGCATCCCTACAAAGGAGATGGTACGTAAGTAAGTATCAACCTTGAAGAGTGGTATTATGACAATTCTCTCTTTTTTTCATTCTTATTTATTGCACATGTTTATTTGTCTTCGTCAACAATTAGAATTGAAGTGGAAACTATCGATTTATTCATTTTGATTATTCTTTCGCGTCTTTTTTTTCTAAGAACATCATATTTTCATTATTTTCACTGATTTACCTTTAGAGCGCGCTCTATATTGCATCACAATCTAAGCGATATTTATACATGGGGAAATACTATAGAGTGCTATATACGGAGTTAATTGATTTATAATGAATAATTATTTTCTGCGGAAAAAAGAAAAGCTAAAAAAAACAATCAAAAAGTAAATATTTTTATTTTAAAAAAAAATGTGATAATCATTAATTGTAATTTTTGTTTCCTTTAAGAACATTATGTTTAGAAAGAATCTTGTGAGTCTACAATTTGACAAAGGCTTTTCTGAGTGTTTCTAGTAAATTTAGGAAAATGTGATGTGTCACCAAAAATACCCAAAATACCGCGTTTCTCGATTTTTACTGCGTCATGGGTAGTGCTCCGAAGGGTCGGGTCGGGTCGGGTTTCAGAGAAAGCCGAATCCGAGAGTAAAAATATTCGGGGCAGCATTTACATAACCTGAACCCGACCCAACCTGACTATAGTTAAACCTGAATTATACGGATAATGTTAATGCTGAGAAACGAATTTCAATATGAATATTCTACCGGTGTTTTTATAAATTATTTATTATAGTATAAATTTATCGAAAAATAATTCCAATTTAACTTCAAAACCTTGATTTTAACACGAAATTGTATATGTTGAAGCATCAATGTTTTGCTGCAACTAGATAAGCTTCACCAAAAAAAAAAAAAAACTCTCTTTGTTGGCATGATATTCATCACCAATATTATGAAGCCAAGTTTTATTTCTAAATAATTATTTTTTTTAAAAAAAAGTAAATAATAATACTAATTTCAAAAATACTTACGGACAGTAAGACATTTTACACAGTTCGATGAGTTTTTAGCACAAATTTAAATTTCTTGTGTAGTACAAATTAGAATCATACGATCACCCGGGTCGTGCAAAAGCAATGACCCCGGCCCGACGGGTTGTTTTACGACCCTAACCCGACTCGACAACTTAGACCGGATCAATAACCCGGGTCGACCCGACCGGTTCGGAGCACTAGCCATGGGTCACGATCTAACTCTAAACGTTTTCTTACTTGAACAGATTTTTTAATTTATAATTAACGTTTTATATAAATATAAATATATCTTTAATAATTATTCTTCGAAAGAAATTTACTTTGTCGATCAAAAAAAATATAGAAAAAATTCTATCTATTCTAAAGGAGGAAGAAGTAGTGGGAGAAATGATGTTAACTTTAACATTTAACGATAAATTTTGTTCGAATTTCATTTTCATAATTTTCATTGCCAGTATATTTATTTTAAAGACCGAATTAGTCAAAACCTTATTTTTCCCAAGCACAAAGGCTAATTTTTTTCGTTACTACCTTGTGTGCTGTTCAATGACATAAATTTTAAAATCAAGTTTTTAAAAAAAAGCAAACACGGTCTGCTGATCATATATAAGAATTTCGGCTTTTATTTTATTGCAAACAACATATTAACAATATGATTTTTTCGGAAATTGCTTTTCGTTTTAATTTTAATCAGATTTAATACAAAAGTGAAATAGTGATTTTCTTTTTACATCACAAATATATATATTATACTCACGATATTTACAAATAGATAACACTCATCACTCATGGATGGAGAGACTGCAAATTTAGAAAATGATTTACCGGGACGTCATTTTCAACTTTCATTTGAATTCAATGATGCAGACAAACTTGGACCCTGGGACATTCTACTCAGTAAAGGCACGATCAAGGATATAAAGGAAATGCTTATCAATGAAAACGTCAAAGATATGCTGGAGGAGTTGCCTTTCACTATTGAGAAAGTCATGGAGAAACTTAGACAGATTTCTTCCGGGGCGTGGAACAAGTACAATATCAAACGTAAGGATTCATCTCTCACCATTCCTATCTATGAAGTAGAGTTACCCAACAGCGACCTGAAGATACTCTGGCAGGTTGACTATGGTTTCTCTACTCGTAGCTATTCGTACACGCAACATGTAAAGGTTTGGGCAGTCGCATGCGAAAAAAAAAATTCCATAACATTAAAAACCCTCGAAAGGGTTCATAGGATCTACACTTCCGAGTACATTCATCGGTGTACAATCCAAACAACCGGAAAAAACAATGTCGTCTTACCGACATGCTTTGGAGATCAAGAGATAAAAAAGTTCACCGGCGAAAACCTAAGTGACGAGAAACTGCTAGAAGCTCATAAAATACTTGTTACAAATAAATTTTTCCCTATATCAAGGGTAAGTATGAATACAATCGTTAATAAATAAAACGTTCAGACATATCTTCTTAAGTAAATGATTTTGTTCGCAAGAATTTATTCAAGTCGCTCATCCTGAGTGGCACTGACTTCGCATTTCAAGTATCTAAGACCGAGTACGATATAATTAGCCATCCTACGTCGGTGATCGTTTTTGGTCGATCGGGTTAGTATGCCATAATTCTCTTGGAAGAAGAAGAATGATGTTTGATTTCTATTCTAAATATTTAGGGACTGGCAAGACCACATGCATCGTATTTAGACAGCTCGTTTCATACCTGAGAAGTGAATCTTATAAAGATCTATCTTCGCAGAGTAACGACGAGGATTTCTATAAAAGGCAAATTTTTATTACAGTGAACAAAGAACTATGCAATCGTGTAAAGAAATACTTCAAGAATCTACAGGCTTCATCGTTGGCTGCTGGAGAAAATATATCGAAAGCTAAGTTTATTGAGTTGAAGAGGAATCATGTTATTAGTATGGAACCTGATGTCAAAGTCAAAATTCCGAACTCGTTCCATCTGCTGACGGATCAACATTTCCCATTATTCGTTACTTTCAAAAAGTTTTCAAAAATGCTTCAGAGGACTTACGGTATTGACAATCGAATGTTAACCACAAAAATAAATCAAAAGCACGATGCAGATAATGATCATGCAAACGATGAAGGGAAATCCCGTTCATGGCATTATTTTGTTGACTACAATGTTTTTGAAATGAAATATTGGCGTCATTTCAGTGATTATTATAGAAAAAAACTGGATTGTGAGCTGGTCTACTCCGAGTTCTCTATTATCAAGGTATGCAACTATAATAAGCAGTATGATTATTGAATTTTTGATTTTGACATTTAAAACAAATAATCCGAAGGGCACGAATATTGAGGTAGATTACTTGTCAAGGGAAGAATACCGATCCATTAGCACCAGGAAATATCCAGCATTCAGTTATAATCGTGATGATATTTATGATTTATTTGAACAATATGAAAAGATGAAGGCGCAGGACTATAAATTTGATTCGGTGGATCGGTAAGACTAGATGATATATATATTTTTTTACTTTAAGATCGATATAGATTTTCAAAATTTTTTTTCGTAGAACTCTAGCCATATTACGCGCAACCAAAACAAAAACATTTGATGGTCCACACATTCATGAAGTGTACATTGATGAATGTCAGGATAACCAAATTATAGATTACGAGCTTATCTTCAAACTCTTTGACCGCACTGACAGCATTTTTATGGCCGGAGATATAGCGCAATGTATTGCTCGAGGGTCTTCTTTCTGATTCCAGGGTTTGTAATGTTCGTTTTAAGAATCATTAATTATTTTATAATATCACTCATCTCTAAATTCTATTAAATAGACTTATACGCACTAATGTATCAACGAAATCTTAATCGAGTCCAAAATAACCAATATAATTTCTTAAAACCAAAACAATTTGAACTAAACATTAACTACCGCTCCCACAACGGGATTCTTAGACTTGCTTCGCCAGTAATCGATCTCATCCAGAAATTCTTCCCTGATTCAATTGATCAACTATCACCAGAATTCGGTGAGATTGACGGTCCACAACCTCTCATCGTCGAGAATTGTAATGCCGAAACCTTTTTTACCACTTGTATTAATGACAAAGAGGAAGATGATACCCATATCGAGTTTAGAGCTAGCCAGGTTGTTATTGTACGTGATGAAAAAGCCAAAGAACGTGTGAACAAAATAAATAAACATATTAGACCGGTATTTACTGTATTCGACGCTAAAGGTTTGGAGTTCAATGATGTGATATTGTATAATTTCTTTACTGACTCACCCGCAGGTTCCAAGGTATGGTTTTATGCATGGTACTTTTGCTTTGAAGAAAATATAGTCATTATTGTAGTATTGAAGTATGTAAGTATTCATTATATTTAGTGGCGAGTAATTCTCTCCGCTTTGGATGATTATGATGGGGGAATTCAGACCTTCTCCCATGAAAAACATTATATCCTTTCTTCGGAACTTAAACATCTATATGTCGCAATAACCAGAGTCCGAGAGCGTCTCTTGATTTTTGATGAAGATGCCGAATTGAGCGAGCCAATCCGAACGTACTGGAAAGGTCTAATCAAAGTAGCGGAGGAAAATAACATCTCTTCCTTCCTTAAAGAGAGTAGTCCATCAGAATGGTATGACGCGGGACAGATGTATTTTGAGCAACAGAAATATGAAGATGTAAATTCACTTTTAAAATAATCAGTGTTATATGATAAGGAATTTTTAACTAAATTAAATAAAAATCCATAGGCTATGTTCAGCTTCAAAAAGAGTGGAAACGAGGAAGAAGAAAAATTAGCTCGCGTATATCATCTTCAAAAGGTTGCTAGGGATTCCTACATAATCGGTTCTGATAAAAAAACAGTGGAGAACGAATTTGCTTCCGCCGCTTTGGCCTTTAAAGAATGTAAACTGTTGCAAAAAGCAGCTTTATGCTATGAGGTATAATTCACGCTATCTTTATTTTTAATTTTGTATTGTTACAATCTTGGACTTTGCGTTTATATTCGATGTAATCTGCCTCTAAAACTTCAAAAATTATGCAAATATTCAGGACGTAGACAAGTATGAAGAAGCAGGTGATTGTTACGTTGAATTAAATATGTTTGAGACCGCTGCGCATTGCTTTTTAAAAGACGAGAAATGGAATAAAGCAGGTACATATTTTGAAAAAGCAAAGAAATACGATGATGCAGTTAATGCATACAAATATGATAAAAGTTATGACAAGGCAACTGATTTGATTAAAAGGTATGCTTACTTTAAACATCCTGTTATTACCTTTAGAATTCTATAATCCTCATAGAAAGTTTTTTATCGTTAATAATTGATTAAGTATAAAAATAACGCAACACTTGTTGTTTAAATTTAAATTATTTAATAAGGCACAGACAAGACATTAACAAAGAAACAATCCTTCAACTCAACAACCATTTCCGCAAAGAAGCAGAAAAATATTGTTTGCATGTTAAATTCGAAGAGGCTGCTGATATACTTATCTGTACGGATGACAAAGAAGGGGATACAATTGAAGCGTTACAGTGTTTATTGTATCAATGTAGAGTTTATATGCTTAAGAAGTTGATAACATATCATACAAGTTCAAGTACCCAACAGGCCCAAGAGGGGTTGGATAAGCTTCATTCCAAAGCAACCAAGATCATTTCTATAGTTAAATCCAAATCTGAATATTGGAAGAGTTTAATAGATTGGAAAAGCCTAAATGAGGAGATTGAGTTATACTCCTCTTATTTAATAAAAGATCTTAATAGAATTCACAAGTGCATAGAATTTTTTAGTAATCATGAGGAGACTGTCGCAGAGTTCTTTGCCGTAATCATATGGCTGCAAATTCCCTTACCATCCAAAATCAAGATCAAATATTGGGATGAGCGGTTGCAATGCCTGCTGAAACTGTGTAAATTGACTTTTCCATTTATAACCTCAGAAGAAAATACAGATATTGCCAAAATCTCTAAAGATTTTGAGGATATATTTTTTTGTTTTGTAAGCAAAAAGTGCCATAATAAACGGAAAATTTCTTTTAACAACCCACTTTATGATCTTATGGACTCCAATAACAACAAAAGTAAAGAGATGGGAGACTGTTAGAAAGTTTATGAAGTGGATGTCGTGCATAAGAAAATTTCTCATTTCCTTGTCTCGTATATCTACAATCTCATTTCGAAAGCAGAACGGGATGGTAAAAATAACCCAAATATTGCTTCAATAATCTACGCATCATCGGATAGTTGTCAAATTCAAAATTGCCGAATACATCACGTAATTCCGAGATCATTACCCCAACTTCTGAAACTTGTGAGACTCCAATATACAGTAGTGCGAAAGATGGATGTATTATTTCGTTATGTACTTCGTAGAGAGGAGAAAAGCAAAGAATTTCTTGGTTCACAAAAGTGGTGGGCTGAAAAGTTGGTTAAATGTCATATACGCTTTCAATCACCACAGAAAAACTGCCCAGAAGTTATTAGCCTTATAAACGACGCAAACAAGATTTGGTTATTTAATGAATCTAAGAATTTTGACGACTTTGAGATTTTGTTAAAATCTATGTTTTTTATTCAACAGATGATGAACAAAAAGGCCATTGGCAAATTTCATCAGGAAATGTCGAAAACAAAAATGATTTCATGCCTTAACATACTACCCGTTGGTTTTGAATATTACTGTGAAAAATTTCAATTGATTCCGGTTGGAAGGCATCTCTCGCTATTTTTTCTGTTTCTTCAGACAAATAAAGTGATCTCCGCGATCATAAGTTCAATTGCGTTTGTTCGATATGCTATAAACAATATTGAAAAGGTCAATCTGTCTTCATCCGATGCTCTTGGTGAACTTACATCTCTCATGGAATTTACATCGTCTTTGATTTTTACAGTTGGTCAAGAATTTTGCGATATTTGTCTTCCTCGATCTTATCTGATTAATTACTTTGAAACATTTACCGCGAAACCACTCATTCTGGGTCGAACTATTTATAGCAGAAAGAACTATCTGTCTGCAATCAATAATTCACTCGATCAAGTTCAACAACTTCTCAACCTGTTGGTTTGTAAGGAACAGATTAAACTAACAATTATTCTTCGACTAATAAGGCTTATGATACTTATCGGTCTAAACGAACCCACTGTTGCGCAGAATGTACTTGGTCTTTTCAAAAACTTTTATAGAAAAATCAATACCTCTTCTATAAAATTTAAGAAATACCTAAAAGAGAGCAGTTTTATACGTCTTGTGGCTGTACTGCATAACGATCTCAGAGAGATACGCTGTGACTCCTTGGTTATCGTTCGTAACAAAAATGTAAGCATAACGAAATTTGCTCGCTTCGAAAAAGATGGCGTCAAAAATCTTACGTACAGCTCTGTTGAGGAATTCCGTTCTTCACTTCGTTGTTCTATTCATTGATTCAATCCTGCAATATGTCCTAATTTCATCATAGAATTTAAAATCTCCATTATATTTACACTATATTCTTTGAGCCCTTTGTTTCCAAGATGATAATTTTAATCAAGCAGAAATTTTTTGAATATAAATACAATCTGCTTGATGGTTTTTATTATTGAACATTTTATTTTATAAAACTATTCTTAATGTTTTTATGATGAGAAAAAATAAATAAATAAAAGATAACATCTGTATTCCAAAATATTATAAACAAAGATTTTGATCACACGTAATGTATAGAAAATTTCTTACCGATCGATTAAATATTTCTTTTTCTAGTTTCTATAGCATAACTAACATGCCAAAACCTAATGTTCTAACCAACTTCTTTCTATTGTTTTTTACTATATAGTGTCTTTGTTTATTATTATAATTACGCTAAAAGGGTTTATTTTAATTTTGATAAAACAAAAAAAAAAAAATAATATAAAAAGAAATCAGAATTATCCCCAATTAATCATCAATATTGTCATGTAAGTTAATTGTCAGTTCTTTGCTATATTATTCTCCGCTAAGGTCAATAAAAGTGCCTAATTTCCTATTTATCTGATTTTCTCTAACGTTTTTTTTTATAATCATGTCGAGCATTGACATGATCATGAAAACTTTCTCTAAAAACATATTGCTATATGGGAGGAAAATCAAGTTCTGAGAAATTATTGAATTAAATTTAACACTTAAATTAACATCAAAAATTGAAATGCAATAATAATAATTAAAATTTTATTAAAAAAATCTCAGAACCTGATTTTCCTAGCAACCTTCCCATATATTTAATCTTTGACTTAATTTCTTTAGTTTCTATTTAAGTGATTTTTTAATTTCATATTTACCTACATTGTTAATACAATATTTTTTGTTAGATAGTTTAGTCGTTGATTCTCATCGAAAATCGAAAAATAATTGTTTAGAATATTATTTTTTTCTTTAAAAAAAAAAATTGCGTTTGTAGTATGACCAACGCGACTTTTTGATTGGTCAAAATTGCATACGAAATTTGACAACCCGGAATGCATTGATTGATGAATCGAATTTCTTTTTTGTTCAAGTTTAATAAATATCCTGAAAGCTACGTGTATTATGCATGTCCAAAAATCACGAATGTTTTTGAACGAATAAGCCTGAAGATTGGAGTATCGTTGACATTTAAACCAGTGCCATTTGACGAAAAGAAAGGCAGATATATAATGAGCCTCAAAACGTCAAATCATTACGTCATATAAATTTATATAATTTGATACGTTGTTAGCTTAAACGGTTCGTCGTTAAGTTAACTAAGATTATTTGCTAACAGGGAGTTTAAGTTCGTCTAAAC